TTTGATGTCCGTTGTCCCCCTTTTCTTTCCACAGTTCCCCAAATCAGGAAGCTCCTTCCTATGGATGGACCCAGCACAATGGTCCCCGTCACGGGGTCCTGGGCAGGACACAGGGACGGAAACTGCGTCACCTTGTCCGGCCTTGGCCCTTTCCTGTCCTGTCGATGACAGGGAGCCGGATAAGCTGGGACATGTCACTGCCTGTTGTTTCACTGGAGTCGGGCTGATTCCCACCAGCCCAGGGTACAACATCGACCATCACGGCAGCGGTGGCCACATAGGTCTTGGAGGAACCCAACAGGGTGACCTTTCCCCATCCTGGGCCATTAATTACCAATAAAAGGTAATCAGCAGCACCTGGGTAAATGCACCCACCACCCCCCACCCCCACCCTGCACCCACTGGGGTCTCATACGCAGACCCCACACCGGTGTCACCAGTCCCCCTGTCACCAGCACACAGCCCATTCTCAGGGTGTCCTGGCTGCTGCTTCACCGCTGACTCACGGCACCGACCCATCCATCATGGCACCATCCCACCATCGCCTGTGCCCCGGGGGTACGTGGTGGCCTTGGGGACAGCCCAGGGCACAGGGACATTGTTACTGCAGTGGGACATGGGGATGTCGACATGCTGGGTGCCATGGGCTGGATGGGATCTGCTCCTGCCACCACAGTCCCCCAGGGACCACGGTCCCCCAGGGATCTGCTCCTGCCACCACGGTCCCAACTTCTTCATCCACCTCTCCCTCTTCTTCCTCACATGCTCTGAGCCAGGACCCACAGCCCGGCACAGCCCCGGTGTTCCCTCCCCACGGCTCTGGCATCACCATGGGCAAAGCAGATGGAAAATGTCCCTTTCCCAGGGGACAGACCCCGCTGGCAACCCCTTGTACCAGGGTCTCCATCAGCAGTGGAGGTGGATGGATGCTGCTGAGCCCCGTGCTGGACCACCAGCTCTCCCCCGGTGCATCCACGGGGTCCCCTCCACCCCAACCCAGCGCGCGCGGTGCTGCCGAAGGGCTCGGGGGATTTCCACCACCCAACCTGCAGCGGCACATTCCAAAGCTGGAATATTCCCCCTCCCTTCTCCAAGGGTCTCGACGTCACCAGTTTTCCCATCCTTATCTTGGAACCTCACCTGGCTCTGGCCGAGGGTCCCGCTGTGTCCGTCTGTCACCGATTTGGCAGCACAGGTTGTGGGGAGCCAATTCCAGCCGCTTTCTCCTCACTTTGCACCCATAGCACAGGGCCCAGACGGACTTTTAAAGCAGCTCCCGCCCCTCCCTGACGTTCCCAGGGCGGTTCCCAGACTGGGGTTCACCTGGGAAATGGTTCCCTGTGATTGCAACACCCAAGACAGGTCCATGCGAGCAGAGACCCGCGGTGGGTTCCAGCTCCCTGAGTGGTTGTGGGGTGATGGGAGATGTTTGGAGACCACCTCACAAGATCCTACATCTAGAAAGGGTGGTGGGCTCGCAGGTGGTTTCTCAGGTATGGTTTAACTCCAGCCTGATCTCAAGGTTTGCAAACCCACCACCATCCAGCCACACACCAGCTGAAATGATGGCTTCTCCATCCCATGGCACATCCCTGGTGCCCACCTTGCTCTGAACCACCCCGTGCACCCACCACCACCGAGGCTGCTGATCGGATCTGGTGTGCTGGAGCTACCTGGCGTGGTGGGGATAGTCTTTATTTGAACCAAAATCACTTGTTCTCAAGGGTAAAAGGGGCTGACGTGAGTCTCTGGAAGCTCATTGGCTTCGAGAAGGTTTGTATCCAGCTCTCAACCATCTCTAGATGCAGTGGGACAGATAAAGTTCTTCTCAGCTGGTCGTTGTGCTTGTAAAGTCACATCCTTAATTAATCGTCCCAGCAAATTGTAGCCCTGGATGTCTCTACCCGAGCGATGGCGCAGCGATGTGATGCCGAGATTAGATCCGGGTGTTATTGGGAGCTGCAGATTTCAGGATGCAAAGTAGGAGGTGATATATTAGAAGCAGCAGCCACCTGTCAGAAGACCTTTGGGACTAGAAAAAAAACCCAAACGATGTGTGGCATCCTGGTTCTCCACTGGCTTCTTCCTAATCTCGGTTGGGAGGAAGCAAACCCATTCTCAAGCGAGATGCTCCCCGGTGTCGTTGATGCAACATCTCAGGAGGGTGGGAATCCCTCCCGGACCCTGCAGGCAAACAGCTCACCTCTGAATCATGGCCTTTCATTACTCTCCTGGTGCCTGGCAGATGTCACAACCACATCCAGGCCCTTATTTTTACAAGGCATCCAGGGCGTGTGCGTGTGCTCAAGAGCAACCACGTACCATCCAAAGCCATCACAAGACAGTTCCCAGCCATTTTCATCACCTCCATGAGGTTGATTTCTCCCCTGGTCCCCACCAGTTCCAGGTTTGAAAGATTGGGAGAAGTTTGGCTTCTCACGGACAAGCTCTGACCCTCTGGTCCCCACCAGCTCTGGGTTTGAAGGGTTGGGAGCACTTTGGCTTCTCATGGACAAGCTGTGACCCCCTGATCCCCACCAGCTCCAGGTTTGAAGGGTTGGGAGCACTTTGGCTTCTCATGGACAAGCTGTGACCCCTGGTCCCCACCAGCTCTGGGTTTGAAGGGTTGGGAGCACTTTGGCTTCTCATGGACAAGCTGTGACCCCTGGTCCCCACCAGCTCATGGTTTGAAGGGTTGGGAGCACTTTGGCTTCTCATGGACAAGCTCTGCCTCATGGGACAATTTGCAGAGAGGGTCTTTGGGGGTCTTTGGTGACCACCATGATGGGTACCCCAGATCCACCACTTCTACACACAGCGACCACCCCAGCACCAACAAATCCATTTCTCAGATTCCCACCAAGCGCGGTGCCACACCTGTGTCATCGGCTCTGACTCACCGAGGGGCACCGACCTCCCCACCACGGGCTGAGCTGTTCCTACCACCTCCGAGAACTTTCCAGATCCAACAGGTACTTATCAAGGATGTCTCACACCGTAGGAATTGCCATCCTCCCGACAGCACATCATCACGACAGCTGGTCACCAAACCAGCAATAAGAACCCAGGAGTCCCCACTCCCACGACGCATTCCCAGTTTGGTACTGGGAAGAAGGATCCAAGAAGCCCTTGGCTTCCCTTTCCCCCTCATCACCTCAACCATTTGACACATTTCCTGTCTCTAATTAAAAGCACACCACACCTTTCTGCTTAATTTCCATGTATTTATTGCCAAGGTAGGAACAATAAATAGTCATTCTCATTGTGAAATCCACCCCAAGGTGAGAGGAGACAGAGGGTGGCCTGTGGCCGAGTCGCGGTGTCGGTGTTGCCACGCCGGCTGGTAACCTGGGAGGACTTGTCACCCTGGCCCGGCCGCAGGTTTCATCACATTTTCTCTGGGGTTTGGTGTTATTTTGTTCAGCTTTTTTCCCCCCCCACAGCACAGAGTCTTGAGGTGCCACTGAGGTGTCAGCACCTTTCCCTTTTTGGTGGCCCCATCTCTATGGTGGCTCATGGGCTTCTCTAGGACATGGAGAGCAGTGGGAAGGGCCTGGGTGGTAGAGAGTCTATGGAACCATAGAATCATGGAACTGTAGAATCATGGAATCATAGAATCATGGAATTGTAGAATCATAAAATCATGGAATCATAGAACCATGGAATTATAGAATCGTAGACTCATGGAATCATAAAATCATAGAATTGTAGAATCATAGAATCATAGAACCATGGAATTGTAGAATCAAGGAATCATATAATGATAGAATCATGGAATCATGAAATCATATAATCATGGAATCATAGAACCATAGAATCATGGAATTATAGAATTATAGAATCATAGAATCATGGAATCATGGAATGTAGAATCATGGAATCGTAGAATCACAGAATCACAGTGGTTGGAAAAGACCTTGAAGATCATCAAGTCCAACCATAAACCCAACACTGACAATTCCACCTCTAACCCATGTCCCTCAGCACCTCATCTACCCGACTCTTAAATCCCACCAGGGAAGGTGACTCCACCACCTCCCTGGGCAGCCTGTTCCAATGCTTGACCACCCTTTGGGTGAAGAAGTTTTTCCTCAGATCCAACCTAAACCACCCCTGGAACAACTGGAGCCCATTTCCTCTTGTCCTGTCACTTGTTCCTTGGTTGAACAGACCCACCTCCACCTCTCTCCACCTTCTTTTCAGGTAAAGAGCAGGTGCCCTGCAGTCCCTCAAGCCCATTTCTTCACCCTCCATGTCCTGAGGTAACTGCTCCATCCCATCCAGCCACCGCT